ACTGGTGACCTCCTGTGTTGTTTGTATTAATAAACCCAAAGGTAGAAAGAAAAAAAATACACACACACACACACACACACACACACACATATCTCCATTCAGAAGAAAATGTCCTTTCCAATCTGGAGATGGAGAAAAAGAAAAATGCAAACTCAAATGTGGCTTCTGCAACCATTTAAGCACATACCTTGAGTCAAAGAGATTTTTCTTTAATAAAAAGTGTATTTGTCACAAAGTTGTAAGAGTAAACATGACTTTTACCTTTTAAAGCAAGTTTTTAAGATATATATGCGCCGACCAAGAATTCTATTAGGCCATTCATCACAAGGAAAATCAAAAATAGGGGATGTTTAAAATTAAAGTGACTTAGCTAGGGCCACACCAAAACACTCTGAACTCTTGCGCTTTCAGGATGTGGTTCATACTAACCATCAGGCCATAGTTTAGTGATAAGTTAGTGATTAGTGACTTAGTACACTTCCTAAAATAAGGTCAAAAGGTGACTTCGACAAAAATTCAGCCACTTGATTTGACAACATTGAACTTTTCCTCCAGTTTAAAGAAGTGAAATTAATTTCCATTCACAAAGAATAAAGGCCCTTCTATTTTCCAGCCTCATAGCCTCAGGACAATCAGGCCAGGAAAGGGGTCTACAACTCACCCATGGAGACCAAAGGGCAGGCACAGGACTGGTGTTTACATGGGGCTCCCAAAAAGGACAGTGTGTGGTTTTTGTTTTCCATTTTCTACATGAGAAATAATACAATAAAAGGCCCAAAACTGCCACTGGATCAAAAAGAATGGTCCCCGTCGGTGGCGATACTACTTATGGGAAAAACCCCAGCTCTCCTCCTAGGCCTGCTTGCAATTTCTTCACCTCCCCCAGACTTGTGGACTTCTAAAACTTATTCTTGCCCACATTTAGTGGGGAAAGAAATGGATTTATATTAATGCCACTTATTTTATAATCAAGATGCAATTTCAAAAATTCAACACATTTCAAATCTTTAATGGTCGATCCTTCTGGAGATAAATGGCCTCTATCCTTACCCAGGGACACTGATTATTTTCAGTTCCTTTAAAAACAGTGATTTAAGCTTCATTTATTTAAGAGCTCCACTCTACCAGGATCATTTAAATTTAACACAAAAAGAAAATGCTCTAATCATATTCCATTTCAAAAATTAAACACTAACAACAAACTGTTTGTATGGCGCTATGTAACATATCGAAAGACTCAATTTCCTTATCAATAAAACAAATATCACAGCAACCACCCATAAAAATTAAATGATTGAATGCCATTCACATTCTAGGTACAGTGTCTCACACATCAATCAAAGATGCCAGCCACCCTCTCAAGACAATGAAATACACCAGGATTGAGATCCCAGCTCTCTCTTACTGGCTACATCCTCCTGGACAGGTTCCTCCAGCTCTCTAAAGCCTCAGCCTCCTCTATAAAATGGGGGTGATAAAATTCTCATTAGAAAGATGAAATACAAATATAAAGCAATAAGAAGAGTGGCAGACAAAGAGAAGGTATTTAAATAAGCAGCTGTTATTTATATTTCTGAAAGTATTTGAAGAAGGGCTAGGGTTGTGGCTCAGTGACAGAGAGCTTGCGAGAGACACTGGGTTTGTGTGAGACACTGGGTTTGATCCTCAGCACCAGGTAAAAATAAATAAATAGAATACAGGTATTGTGTCCATCTATAACTAAAAACATTTTTAAAAAAAAAGTATTTGAAGAAGCTGGGTACTCTGGCCCACACCTATCATTCCAGCAACTGGGGCGGCTAAGGCATGAAGCAGTAAAGGGCAGCTTAGGAAAACTCTGTCTCAGAATTTAAAAAAAAAAAAAAATTGAAAAGGTCTGAGGAGGTAGCTCACTGGTAAAGGAGACTTTGAGGAACCTACACCTTGCATTTCACTCTTATAAAATGGTTCAGTGCATATGTAAGTTTTGATTGAAGTGGAGAAAAAAAGAAGAAAAGTTGCTAAATTCAACAGGAAGCAGAGAAGGTACACTTTAATATCTTTTGTATATTTTTCTCAGCCACTAAAATGCAGGAAAAAATTCACTGGATAAAAACTGCCCCCTCCCCTCATCACACAAGCCCCACATGGCTCTTGTCTAATCACAGCTGCCAACATTATCTGCCCTACTTTGAACAATTCACCAAAGGCTTTAACAACAAGTGGCTGTATCTACCAAAATGTGTCCTTTCTGTTTTTTCAGGGAGGAAAAAAGAAGAAGAAGAAACAGAAAAGCACAATGGATCCTTTCTTTAATCAATGTCCAAAACATCTATCTCATCACATGCGGGGAAGCCTATCAGTGTGGTCTCGTGGATAACACAAGGGACCCTAACTAGCAGTACATAGTGAAGCATTAGCACTCAAGAATTCACCACAGATGGGTAAAGAATGATGGTGTCTTTTCTTTGAACATGGATAAACTGATAATGCAAAACCAAATCTAGGAAATTTATTTGATAACCTTAGATGAATTATTTAACATTCATCATTAATATGTAAGTTCTAACCAGAGCATCTTTCCTTATTAACAGCATACAGTATTGCCTAGTAAACATTCTTGTTTACACTAACTTAACACAGCCAACACATATTTTCCTTAAGAAGTGTCCCAGGAAATTATTACTCTTTCAAAGAGAGAAAGTGCTACCCAGTGGCCAAATTCAAAGACATGAAACGGAAAACCTTGAGCTTCCCAGAGGCCTCTTTCTCTCCGAGGTTACCAGTAGGCTACAGTCACCCACTTACACTATAACATTAACCAATGAGGTCCAAACATCTTCCTATCTGTGATGGTGGGCGCAGAGTGCTATTTGGAATGGGCCCTGCTGGACCCAGGGATTAAGAGTAATCCAGTGAGATATTTTTTCATGGCTTACATTCAAAGAGATGCCAGTTTAACTCAGTCCAGGCCACGAGGCCACCAGTCAGGTGTGAAGCTACACATGCACATGCCTCAATTTTCTTTCCAGCCCACCTTTTCCACAATACAAAGGAAAACGTGGCCTTGTGTGGAGCTTCCAGGACTTAATAATAACAGCACTTTCCTTCTGCAGTGAACTTCACCAGTTGCTTTCACAAGCATCATGTCACACAACTGTCACCTATGGCCAGTCGTATTTTCACTATACTCTGGGGACATGAGTCCAGAAGAAGTATCACAGGGGCATGAACATCAGCAGAAATGTACTGAATCACACAGGGTTTTGTCTGTTTGTTTGTTTCCCAAAGAGAAACATGGAATCACTGAGTGACATTCCAATCAAATCCAGTTCTTTTGTAAATAAGAATGCTGAAGCTGCTGCGTTCAGTGGTGCACACCTGTAATCCCAAGGGCTCCAAACTAAGGCAGGATGATTGCAAATTCAAAGCCAGCCCCAGTCTTAGGGAGGCGGTGCTAAGCAACTCAATGAGACCCCATCTCTAAATAAAATGCAAAATAGGGCCCAGGATGTGATTCAATGGTCCAGGTCCCTAAGTTCAATCCCCCATACCCCCCAAAAATGTTGAAAAGCTAAAACATCTGTCCCAGGTCACACAGCTAAATACACCACCTCTGAAACTAAAAGCCAGGCCTTCTGATGTTCCCCTCTCTTCCTTGTTGGATCCCCGTACCACCAATCAAATGCACACGTTGAATTTTTGGTTTGCTGTACCAAGGATAACTTCCCTAAATTTTTAAATTTGTAGAATGGAGACAATAAGTTGCTGCCAAAGTAATGCAGATTTTAAAATAGTTAGAAAAACCACAAAAATGTCTAATCAATTACAGATCCCAATATCATTTTGGTAAAAAAAAAATAAAAAATAAATAAACTTTAGGAGTTCCTAGGTTAGAGCAGAATAAAAACACCTCATGACCCCCTCACCATTACATGAACTCTAGAAATTCCAACTAGTAAAACACAAAGAGAGGAAATGTTGTCCAAACCTATTATGCCAAAACTGGAGGTCATTCAAATCTCACAGTGAACCTTTCTTGTTAAAATTACTTTTTTTAAAGGCGAAAAAAAATTCACTCTGATGAAAAACTTATTAACCTAAAGTGTAAGCTCTGTAAAGTTTGAATTTTCATTACCTGGACTTCTTAGACCCTGTCAGCAGCCTGTATCAACTAAATAATCTCATGGACTTGCGCTTAAAGAGATGTCTCCGTCACTTAATATTTCTTCTGAGTCCTCTAAGGGCACTGGCATGTAAAGAAAAATTAAAAAAAAAATGCCACCTTAGTGGACAGAAAAGGGATTTGATGAGAATTTAATACTTCCAGAGAAGTCTTACAAAAAGGAACAGGGAAGACTCAGGAACCTAGTCTGCTTTCCGCTCCACCTTCTTGTCAAGCTAGTCATTTATACCTACAAAGGCTTTTAAAAAATAAAAATAAAAATAGTCCACCATTTCTGCAAGAACACACGAAGAGGAAAAAATTCTCTTGACCAATTACTCCCATCATTAGGGAAATGCATCTCCCCAGGGGTTGTGTGTTTGAGGATCAAGGTGCCGGTATGGTATTCCAACTGGAAATGGGAAATCTTCAGCTCTCATCTCAGCAGGTCTTGGCTAGCACTTATGGAGTGGCACACATCAAAACAGGGTAACAGGGTGCTTGACAGCTCCTTTCCCTAGGATGGGGGCTGCTGAGACCCCCCTGCCTCTGGGCAGTGTTTTACACTCGCTCAGGAATGGGTCCTTTAGGGCCTGGAGTCTTAGGGTCCGCAGGCATTTCTCCAGCCCCCCCAGGCAGGCGGCTTGGTCCCAGCAAATAGGCTAAGATAAAGATCTGAGACGGTATTTATTTATGGCAGGGAAGAAGCAGTGTGTGTGCAAATTTAATGCTTAGTAGGGAAAAAGTAGCAGATCTCCTATCTCAAAAGAGAGCCTGGCCAACAATTCCTTCTGACCACCAAGGTCTCTTCCCTCTCCCTCCTCCTCCCCCTTACCCGCTCAGTCTCTCTCCTTACCCCCAACCGCCTCCCCAGGAAATGAGGCCGAATTTCTGAGCCTGTTTACTCTTTTCCTCCGACCTGGTGGAACCTGGATCCATTCACTCCGTGTAGACACGCCAATCGGTCCCCCCAAGTCCCCTGGCTATCGTGCAAGGGGAGAAGGGTGGGGGAGAGTGGTGGGCTGCGGTGATGGTTCCGGATCCAAGCGATGCGGGCCCTCGTCGAAAACGGTTTCCCACCACTCGGCTCCGGATCGGCCGCGGCTGCGCGGCTGAAGCCCTCCGAATGCGGCGCAGTGGGCGGCGCGCGGGCTGGGGAGTCCAAACCCTCACCCTGCGCGGCGAGATACAGGCAGGCGAAGCAAGGGGGCGCAGGGATGGGCGAGAAATCCGAGGACCTCACGACGGGGCAGCGAACGTCGCCTTGCCTTCCCGGAATGCCACCCAACTCTAGAAACCCACAGATCCCGAAAATTCCGAAAGCGAAACTGCGAGCAGATCCCAGAAGTTTGGGAATGGTCTCCCAGGCTTCCTGGCGTCGTCTCAGGACTGCTGGACACTGAAAACGCAATCAAGGACGAGCACCAGTGGCAGTGGCCATCGCTCCGCACGGCGACCATTCAAGTCCCCTCGTATTTTTATCCCTAAAAGTCTCCAGCCCCAACTAATGGAGCACCCCAAACCCCCTCGGTGCTGGGGCGGTGGTCGCTCCTACCCACAAAAAAAAAAGAAAACTTGGGCCCTTCGAGAATCCTGTGGAATGTTCTTTGTAATGGACTGTATACTCCCGTCCACCGCACGGCCCAGTGCAAAATCGTGGGTTTCGGGAGTTGGAGTGGATTGTGCCCTTGTCAGCGGCGACGTCAGGAGGACGAGGGGAGGGGTACGCAGCTGAAACTGCAGTTTACCAGGCAGAGCCATTTTTTATGGTCTCCACCTCAGCGGAGCCCACGGAAGAGCTTGTCCCCGGGAGGACGCGCCGAAGCGCAGGCTGGAAGGGCCGGGGACGCGCCGCGCGCTCCGTCCCCGGGTGGGGGTGGGGGGGTGCGTCTGGGTTCGCGCGGTGCCAATCGCTCAGCCTCACCGCCCAGGTGGGAGGGAAAACCTGCCTTGGGGTCTCCAATCCCCATGCTGATTGCCCCCTACCGGCCACCTCCCCTATACCGCTAGGGAACCAGACCCATCGACTCCCCAGCGTCCATCTAAGTGACCCTGTAGCGCACCCCCTCCTTGTGGGCCCCTTTAAATGTCCTGAGACCATGTTGCTGCGGTAACTGTAGACCTAGCCAACACTATCCTTTTAACCATATCATTTAAAAACGTCTCCCAGCTCTTGGCCAGTGCACGATCGGAAGACGGTTCCCTGGACCTGCCCTCGCCTAGCTCTGGAGAAATCGTGCGACCACCGCGTGGCTCCCACCCCTCTTCCCGGGTCTTTTCCGTTGGCACTGCCGCGCGTCCAGCTCACGGCCGCTGCGTCCTGGACACGGGCGACCCCTGTCGGGGACCTCTGTTCCTAACTAAAACGACGTTCCCGCATTCCGGTGACTCTACTCCGAGCTCGTGCTTGCTAGCGTTCCTTAAGACTTCCCTAACTGGCTCTGGTTTTGTGTCCAAACTGCATTCCCAAATCCTCCCAGGCCCAGTAAGAGGGCTTTTCCAGAGCACTTCGCAGCCTATTTACACCCCAAGGATAAAGCCTTGCCCATGCTCCCGCCGGTACTGGAGGCGCCCCTCTTAGCTTGCCTTTGGTGCCCAACCTGAGCAAGGGACGATTTCCTCCCAGAACGCCATCCCTCACCCCCCACATTCCCTAAAGCGCCAAACCCAAAACTCAACAGGGCAAACCCTCACACTGACCCTAAAACGCCATTTGGCTGAGGTCCGCGTGCCCCCACCCAAGTACTCCTGCACTTTCATTCTCCGCACACCCGCAATGGTCCTTAACTTCCCACCTGAGCGCGAAGCAAAGGGAAGCAAGAGCCCACCACTAAATGCAGCCCACACAAAATCCCACTGACGTCTGCAGTCCCATTGCACCCAATACTCTGGACAGTCCTTTTAATAAGCACCTCCTTGCTCCATCTAATCGAGGGTTTACTCGTACAGGAGCACAGGATCCAGCACACAGAGGGAGAAAGCGAGCTTGTCTCCTAGAAAGCCAAAATAAATCATTCCGTCTGCCCTCATGTATTTTGCACCACGTGTCAGCAGTTTGTCACGTCAAATCGTGGCAGGGTCTGGTTCCGCGACGCACAAACATACATTTAGGGTGGATCTCTGTAACACCTCCCCCAGGCAACTGCACCTACAAGGTGTGTTCACTAATCCACAGACACCCATAGCAGTTGCGCTTGGATGCCCTCGTCCCGGCCAGAGGCACCCCTCCACCCTTTACCCTCTAGCAATGGACTTGACACACAGACTCTAACCACGGAAAAAACTGGGGCAACTCGTTCCCTTTCTTTTTTCCCACTTAATTCGCTAAAGCGGATCCTGGGGTAACCAAAGAGAGTCGAAATTCAGGCGTGGCCACTTCAGTTGGGTTTTTTCCCACCTCAAAACCTTTATTTTCAGTTTTCAAAAGCCACCTTAGCCCGCCATATTGAAACCGGCACTGTGTCTAAAGACTCCTTCCCCGCTGTTGCTGCGCTTCCAAGAAACACAAGTACAAATGGGGCTCTGGAGGTGCATCTGGCCACCCGAATCAACCTCTTCCCACCCCAAAGAATCTCCCCCCCCCCTGGCTAATCCTCTTCCACCGCTTCGGGTCGAAATCAATAAATATATCTAGCAGTTCGTACAGTTGCTTTTTGGAGAATTTCAGCAAGACATATGCATATTTAAAAATAAACTCCAGAGCCTGATTGGGTAGTAATTTTGAGAAGAGGTCTAATAAGAGTAGACAACAGGAAAACCCCAAGTGACATGATATTACTTTAAGGGGGGGGGGATGAACAAAAAGATCATCCTCGCTGGAGCACGCTCCGAAACTACTACTGACAATTTCATTTCAGTGACACAGGCAAATGCCTCCAAGGGGCGATTCCAAATGTCTGAACGATGTTTTTCAACCTTTGCTTATCTCCAGTCTCCCCTCCCCACCACCTCCTTTCTCCCCACCTCCCCAAACCTCCAAACACACACCAAAAGGGGTCTCGTGTGCGGAAGAGACTCGGGAGCGCAGGGTAGTAGCAGAGACTGCTTCGTCGCTAAAATGAGTGCACAAACGAGAAGGGTGTGTGGCGGGAGAGGACAGGCTGCACTCGGAGGAAGGAGGACACTTTGCAACTCTGGACCGACTCCCGCACGGCCGGGCTTTTCAGAGCCCAGGAGTCTCGGGGGAAGGCAACAGAAGAAGCAAAAATGACAACCCAGAGCGCAGAGAGGAGTTTGAGGCTTCGCTCAAGTGCTGTCGCTTTCTTCTCCAGCCCTTCTCTTTGGCTGTTTTTCTCCTTCCTCCCCCAACACCCACCAGGCTTGCTTAGTCTTCCCTTTTTTTCACCCCGCGAAGCTAGCAAAAAGACGCTGACCGGCGCACTCAACCTGCGGGCCGGAGGTCTGATCGCGGGCCGAGGGCAGTAGCTGGAGCCGCGTCCTACCTGATGAAGTTTGTTCCGCCCTCGGCGGGGACCCTGGCCCCGGAAGTCTCCGGAAAAGGCGCCGGCCTCGCTCGCTCGCTCGCCCGCCCTCGCCTCCCTGGTTCACTCGCTCCCTGCCCGCCGCCTCCCTCGCGCGCCGGCTCGGGTCCCTCCAGCTCCCACTACAGCCTCATTCCAATATGGCATCCTCTCTGTGCGCATGCCCGGCACTCTTTTTTAAGATTTTTTTTTTTTTCTGTTCAGTGAACTCCTTCAACGACCTTTTCCAGCGCTGCAAAATGTCTTAAGCCAATTAGCCTGCAATTCGTGATCAACTCCTTCCTCTGCCCCCGTCGCGACGTGCCCTCCGCTCTTAAGTACACAGACACCCTCCCACGCCAGCACAATTCACGCCACGCGGCTCCCTCCAGCCCTCTCCCCTCCCTCCTTTCCTTTAGCTCCCTCCATACACGATCTGTAGAAACTTCACATTGCTAGCATTTCCGCACACCCATTTGCAGCGACAACTGTACAAACTCCACATTTCCTTGTCCGCTGTTTTGTTTTCTGGGTTTGCGATCCCTCTGTGGACCAAGTGCACAAACTTGCGCTTTATCCGCCCGAGATTGTTCAAAGTGGGGAGAAATGCAATCCCAAGAACCACTCGGCCCCGCCCGCTCCACCCTATCCTGCTATTAAATCGAGACTTTCTGTAGGGATTTTAATGTTTCCTGACTTTTTGCGGAGGACAGAGGTTTTTCTAAGGGAACTTGCCCCAAGGGCCAGGAAATTAAGTTGGGGCTGTCCGAGAGATCTGCCTGGCGGGACTCTGGTAACAGGGATCACCACGCGTCTCGTGGGGCACCTGGTCAGGACTGGTTCTCGTCGGATGGCGGGGGGGGAGGGTGGCAAGAATCCCTGCCCAAGCCCGAGGTGGGGGAGGGGGAGAGTGGCCCTCGGCCATCGTCTGGAGTGCAGCCCGGTGTTGAGCTGAACGTCTGCGGGACCCGTGGACATTTTGTTCGGTACGTGGTAGGAGGACATTGAGGAGCTCCCCAGGCCTTGGGCACAATAGATGGTCAAAGTCAGAACGAAATGTCCCCATGCGGAAAAGCTGGCGACACCCTGGTAGGCAAGACCGACAGTTTAGGACGAGGGCATTGCCTTAACTGGGGGGCAGCTGGTAGATGCTGGTGTGGGGCTGGATTATATTCGCCTAGAAAATAGAGAACGGACACTTTTGCTCTGTAAAATTCCCCACTTTCCGAATTCCTAGTCCAACTATCTCTCTAGAACTCCTCTCGCTGTAAATTCCCGCCCCTCCCCCAAACCAGAGAGTCTCCAAGCACCCAAAGGTTTTCCTGCCTTTCCTAGCTCTGCCAACCCACTACGGTCCTGGGCTACCTCACCGTGGTCCCCTAAGAAGAGGTAGACTATCCAAAAGGCTGGAGATGGCCGGTGGAGTGAGGGAAACAGGGACTGATGGCTCAGTACCGGTCCCAAGTAAGTGCTCTCTCCGATGGCTGGACCTGAGCTGATCTAAAAGAACAACGGAGAGATGTGCCCAGAAATTACTCTCAACACTCTGCGACCCACCGGAGGACACTGCCAACAAAAAGATTGGAGGAACGGGGAGATCCAGGGCGAGCGGTAGCAGCCACGAGGGCCCACTCACCACCAATCTAGAGAAATCCCATCTCCTTACATCTTAGAGAACTCTTTGTGACATCTAAAGCGCCTTCCCTCCGCCTGTCACTCCTCCTTTTGACACAAGAGCCACCGGAGACCTAAAAGAGAGCCACTAGGTTAAGGTTGCCTGCTGCGCGGCACAATTTAAACACCAACATTACTCCACCACCTCTGCAGCTTCCCACCGTCCAACTCTTTCTTGGAGACACCAAATCATATCCCTGAGCACTAGGCGCCTGAAGTTACCAAAGGCAAAGACTCCTCAAATCAACCGTCCCCGGTTCCTGCACATGAATCTTCCCACCTGCACCCTGGGAACTGCCTCCTTCAGAATCCCGAGGTGGTTCCAGTGGACCCTGATGTGAGCAACTTAAAGAATCCAGAGTGTAAGCTCCAGACACTCTACCGGACTCTAAGCCCTGGCCAGGTCTCAGACACTCGTCATCTTTTCTCGCTTCTTCCACTCAGGAGGGAGAGAAGGGGGCGGGGGAGGGACAGTGTCATCCCTCAAGGACACACAGCATGGAAATCCCAGCCTGCAAACCAGCCTTGGAGATTCGTGTCACCGCCTTATGCACAGCCCAAGCGCGCAAGGCGCGCCGCGGTAGTAATGGCCCCGAGCGCAGATCCTCTGCTCCAACTCCCTGAAGCTCAGGCTTGGGGCGGTCTGAGAGCGTCGCGAAGCTCCA